AATATCAGGTTTGGGTGGACTCCCCATTTAATCACGAATGTTCATATGAACAGATGTAGATATTTTCCCTATATTGGTGTTGTCACGATCTATAAATAATTCAGTTTGTTGCAGATGCCTAAAGCAGGTGAAGTTGCTAAAAGGAAAAGTTCTATAACAATGAAGTGTACGTAGCAGCCAATCGACTTATCTGTCATTGGGAGAATCCTCCCTTCTTTCTCAATGTCACTCCACGTGGTTCCTGCCCGCTCGCCATGTTATTTTATATAAACAAATACAGCGAGATCACGCTCTGTATGAGATGTTTGTATTGTTTACTTCTGAAGAATGGAAATGTAGAAAGTAGATGTAAAATACAGTAAAACTGAATGATGTTTTGCTTTGTGTACCTTAAAAACAGGTCAGATCTCTGCGCCCAGGAGCCACCGATGTTGCGTACAAGCCCGCCTGTACATATCAAACTCTGCTCAGAGCGTATACTTGTGTACATGTAGGGATGTACGCCTCTGGACCTAGACTGTGTGCGTCCCGGATGTACCGTGTTTCCCCGAAAATAAGACACTGTCTTATATTTTTTCCCCCCAAAAACAACACACTAGGTCTTATTTTCGGGGGATGTCTTATTATTTTATTTATTTATGTTTTAATGTCAGAAGTTCCCTCAGTGACTGAGGCTCAGTCACCTCATCTCACCTCACTCCGACCCCCACTGGCCGTGCCGCTGCCTGCTGGGAAATGTAGTTTTCTGCCCGGCGGCAGCTTTCTAAGCAAAAGCCGAGGCAGACGGGTGTCTGCTGATTGCGGGATACGAGCGGCATGCGGGAGCTGCGGCACGGCGGATGCTCTCTGGGCCGCCCCCACCCCCAAATGACAGAATACCAGGGCCCTGGCTGCGCCCCCTCCCAGCCTCGCCTCACCCTTCCTACGGCCCTACCAGCGGTGCAGACAGTGGACAGTGCGGTAAAGTACATGCTACCGTACCACCGAACTAGGTCTTATTTTCGGGTGGGTCTTATATTACAGGAATCCCTAAAGATAGTGCTAGGTCTTACTTTCGGGGGAAGGTCTTATTTTCGGGGAATTGCGGTACGCTCCAAGCAAAACAAATGGCAAACGCACTCATCAATTCGTCACCAGCTTTACAGCAAGGTGCACATGAAAGGGCTTTATACAGTAACAGCAAAAAGTTTCCCAGCACACTCACCAGCCAGCATGCAAAAAAAAGTTGTCTCACCGCTAAGGTTAAAAACAGAGGTTTAGACGCACGTCTTCTGCAGAATATGGGAAAGCCGCACAGCCGACCCATGGCACCTCTAAATAGCGCGGTCCTAACTCTAAACTATGAGAGTCTCCAAGACGCAGACTGTCTGTGTCCAGAGGCATACATTTGTACCTGTACACAAGTATACTCTGGGAGCAGCGTTTACCAGTGTACAGCCGCAGCCTGTCATTGGTTTGTACAGGGGGGCTGTATGCAACAGCTGTGGCTCCCGGGTGTAATGATCCGGTTGTTTTTACGGTACGCGGCCCTGCGTGTCCTTGTGACTGAGTCCTTTTATTGCTTTTCATTCCTATAAACATAGTAGCATAATATCTTTTATAATGTGCACTAGTATAACACACAGATATACCCAGCCATATACACCTGTCATTCTGCATGATTTGCTAGAGATTGCAAAGTGCCTATCAAAAATGATATAGCGTTCTATAGACACGCAGCATTACAATGCTTCAACCGAGCAACAATTACCACATACCATAAACATAAAATTACCACATAACATAAAATTACCACATACCATAAACATAAAATTACCACATACCATAAACATATCTTGATCTGTGCGCTGGGAGTATGATATCTTATCTCAAAGGAAAGAAAATGTCATAAGTTTTTATGGGCCTATGTGTTTTTTCTCTCTTCCTAGTTTTAACCCTTTTACTGCCAGAGCTGTTTTTGTGCACGTTCTAATCCACATTTTAGGACTGAAAATTACTTAAGACCCCCAAGTGTTCTATATTTCCTGAAAGCACAGACCCTGTAGAATATAATGGCAGCCGTTACACATGTTTACATTGCATAGTAACACCACAACTCTTTACTTTTAGTGCACAAAAGCACACTATAATACACAATTTTATTGTAACAACTAAAAGAGGAAGTGGTGCTGAGTTAATAGATACCCCAACATGCCAAATAAAAAACGATTCTCGACGGGTTTTCAAACATGCTCGTAAGACAAAAGACGTGCGACCGTACAGTAGAAACGGTCGCACGCCTTCCACACACCTGCCGATTATCGTAGATCGCTGGATTTCCCACGATTATTGTACGATAATCGGCAGGTGTATGGGCACCTTTACAGGTCATGAGTTTAGAGTTATCTGAGAATTATTGCTCTCTCTGGTCGCACACAGTGATACCCAACATGTGTAGCGCAATTGTCGTTTACGTTCGTATGTGTGCATTTCTTCCCTGGCTTCAGCAGGGAGGAGATCGGTCACTGGTTTCTCTCCAAAACTCCCACCAACACCCGTGATGCCGGTCCTGGACCCAAATGAGGGGCAGCAAAGCCCAGGAAGCAAGGTGGGGGGTGTTTTGGGAGGAAGGGACCCAGCTTATGGCCTGTGGCATCTCTGCTGCTATAATCTCCTCCAGTATAAAGCTGACAGTCGGCTTTACACAGGTAACGAGTTTTTAGCGGCTATAGCCTATCTCCAGGAAAAACGTCCCTTGTTATCGGCTACCCCAGCCCTGCTAGGGTTTACAGCTCTTTTTTTTTTTTGTCTAATGGACCTGTGTAAAGGATCTTTTACGTACCTGATCCCTGCTTCTACTGGCTTCAAGAAGACAGATTCCCACAGTGTCTCCTCCCCCCCTCAGCTTCTGCGGTTGGATGCCCGCCGATGTTGCCATGTCTAATTCAGGGCCCATAGCTCTGAATTATATGTGAGGACACCGAGGGACGGTCCACACGCATAGGGCGGACGAGGAGAGCAGCAACTGCCGGGGGAGCAGGGATCTGTTAAGTAAAAGTCCTATTCCCAGGTACCCCTAGACATAAACTAACAGTTAACCCTTGTAGTACAGGGGCAGCCACACACCGAGGGGAGTTTTTCCCCTAGAGATGGGCTTTAAGGAAAAAATGATAATGCCATTTGCAGGGCTTGAAAAATCCACTCGTCTGCGACGAGAGGACGGCGGAGCCCGAGGAGCAGCTTCCCGGCCAGCCGTTGTAATTACACGGCCGGCTGGGAGCTTTACATACAAGCGATCGAGCGTCTCGAGGCGCCCGATCGCTTGTATTACCAGCAGCTGTCACTGCCGTTTCCGAGATCCGCTGTGCCCGATGCGGCCAGGACCTGCACGGCTCTGTGACAGGAGATCAAAGGGAGTTCAGTACACAACTCCCTTTGATCTACTCTCCAGTCCCCGAATGCAGGAAGTGATGTATATTACATCACTTCCTGCATTTAGTGTCACTTTCCAGCTACAGAAGCTGATGAAGCAGATCTCTGCTTCATCAGCTTCTCTGGGGGTCTTAATAAAGGGGACCAGTCATGTAAATTGGCTATCACATAGGGGGCTTCTTAGCCCCCCCATGTGATAGCAATAAAGTTGTGTAAAAAAAAAAAAAAGTAATACAAAAATAAAGAAGCATTAAAAAAATAAAGAAGCATTAAAAAAGAAAAAAAAAAATGTTTTTTAAGTCCTCCGCCCCCCACATACACATGCAGATATGCGTCTGGTGTGCCTACGTGCGAAAACAACGATTGCACCTATTGTGCCGCACATGTTACGTATAACCGCGAACGTCGGAGTGTGTGCAATAATTTTAGGGCCATTAATTACTGATAACACTAAACTGATGAGCGGTAAAAGCATTTCAAGCATCGCCTATGGCCAGTTTTCAGTGTGGTCATTTTTTGCGATTTTGCGGGCGCACGCAATTTTAAGGCTTGACATGTTTGGTGTCTATTTACCCGACGTGACCCCGACTTTTATATTTTACCCAAAAAATATGGGTAAGAATAAATGTTTTAAGGAAGTGTGTTACTGGCAGGATCATCGTGAAAAAGAAAACTAATGCAGCCACCACATCTCAGGACTGGTAGGCTGCAATATATCACATTTTTGTTGTTGGGTTTAGATACACATAAAAGTTGAACTCTGAAATATTGCGTGAAGTGATAATTGGCAAATTATGCATTTGTATAACCGTCCTCTGCTAAGAAATAACAATGCCTTTTGTGCAGGCTTTTGCACCATGTTCTTCAAATGTTCTAGATGGGTGACTGCTTTCTATCTGCATAGGACCCTGACACACCCCTTGAGAGTACATGCCTCTCCTCTTCTGAGAATGTCTAATTACTGTCTGTGCTGGCCCAGCTCATCTGCCCCTCCCCATACCTCCCTACATAGCCTTATATCTAGCTACTGGGGGAGGAGTGAAGGGGAATACTATAAAGCAGGGGTAGCCAAACTTCAACCCTCCAGCTGTTTTGGAACTATAAGTCCCATAAGGCATTGCAAGACTCTGATGACCACAGGCATGACTGCCAGAGGCTGATGCGTGATGGGATTTCACCACAAATGGAGGGCCGAAGTGTGGCTACATCTGCTATAAAGTGACATTGCTGACATCACATCCAAGAAGATGGCACTCAGCATAAGTTTTAAAACTGTATTTGGTAAATAACATGCACAACATACATTAAATGCATATACAATCTTATGGGAAGATGTTTGATATGAATGGTCTGGTGACAGGGTCTCTTTAATACATCTGGAACACAATGCTGGTCATTAGGCCGTCATCATGTACCCAAGATATATAATTACATTGCTTATGCCCACTAATTTGAAGCGCCGGGTTGCTCATTTTGGAAAGGAAATGAAGAAACAGAATAGAGAGACCGAGGTGGACAAAGACAGATTTGTGTTCCTCTTGTATAGAAGCATTGTTCCTCATATTGTCGACCCCCTTCCTTTTCTTCAGATCCCTCCCGAGGAACATGCGGTTATTTCTACCTACTTCGGGGGACATCACCACCTCCTTTTCCACATGGAGTGAGCTTCGTTTTGGAAACGCGTCAAACCAAACACAGCCGTATTGTTACAGTGGCCACACGGGAAGCACGGTGCTACAAGGAGTCACCTTTGGCGGGATCCCTACTGTTTTGGTATTGGATGTGGCCTGCTTTGTGGTAGGTGTATGTGTATCTATTATGGTACGGTCAATCTTTCTTTTTGAAGCGGACCTTTCATTTACTACAAGTCTGTATGAATAAACACGTCACAATATACCACAGAAGTATCATTTTATTCATAGAAAAGCTCTACCAGCACCCAGCGCTGTTCTGTAATTCATATATTATAATATACAGAATAAAAATTCAATTGTTATTATGGTGATCACTGAAATGCTCCCTTACATTGGTGCTCAGTGGAGAAAGGTCCTTTTTAGATTGGTGGTTTTTGGGAGAATGGCTCTTTACACTACTGGTCAGTAGAACGCAAACTCCTAATTTGGTGCTCAGTGGAAATAAAATACTCCTACATTAGTGCTTGGTGAAAAGAATACTCCTAGGTTGGTGCTCGGTGGGAAGAATACTCCTAGGTTGGTGCTCAGTGGGAAGAGTACTCCTACGATGGTGCTCAGTGGGAAGAGTACTCCTGCGATGGTGGGAAGAGTACTCCTGCGATGGTGGGAAGAGTACTCCTTGCGATGGTGGGAAGAGTACTCCTTGCGATGGTGGGAAGAGTACTCCTTGCGATGGTGGGAAGAGTTCTCCTTGCGATGGTGGGAAGAGTACTCCTTGCGATGGTGGGAAGAGTACTCCTTGCGATGGTGGGAAGAGTACTCCTACGATGGTGGGAAGAGTACTCCTACGATGGTGGGAAGAGTACTCCTACGATGGTGGGAAGAGTACTCCTACGATGGTGCTCAGTGGGAAGAGTACTCCTACGTTGGGTTTGTGCTCAGTGGGAAGAGTACTCCAATTCTAAAATTCTGTTTTCACTTTGTCATTATGGGGTATGGAGTGTAGATTAATGAGAAATAAATTAATTTAAACAACTGTAGTATCAGGCTGCCACGTAATATTGAACAATGTTAAGGGGTCTGAATACTTTCTGAATGCACTGTATCTGAGTCATAGAGATTGCTCAAGGAACCCCTCGCAACCTCTAGAGGAACTGTGGTTGAGAAAGTCTGCTCTAGACCAGGGGTGGGCAACTCCAGCCCTCCAGCTGTGCTGTAACTACAAATCCCATAATCCCTCTGCTTCTGGGAGTCATTCCTGTGGCTGTCAGTCGTGCGGTGTCTCATGGGACTTGTAGTTCCACAACAGCTGGAAGGCTGGAGTTGCCCACCCCTGCTTTAGATGATCTATCATAACAATTAGCAAACTTCTGTTTTTCAGCTGTTACTGTTTCTCTTCTCCTTTATTCGTAAGAAGTTCTGGGACTACGGCCGCGTGGCCCTTGTGTATGACGCAGACAGGTACGTCACCTCTGTCTTTTAGAGTATAAAAGATTTTGAGTCAACTTTATTTTCCTTTTTTTTTTTTTTCTTCTTTTCAGAATTAAAAAAAATAGTTTTATTTTTAGGCTACATTTTTTTCTGTGTGTTTCTAACTTGACAAAGGTGCACGCACGCACGCACACGCGGTATCGGTTGTTGTCTGTTTCCTTTCAGGCCCTCTGTGTCTAATTGAAACATGGTATTGAACCTTCTGATAAGAGGTGGCTGAGTCACTGCTCTGACTCATTCGCTTGGGAATATTTCCAGTCATTGAGCTTGAGGGGGGAAAAAAATAGAAAATAGTTTTTACTTTTTATTTATGTGTGAATTTATTGTGAGTTTTAGTGATAATGAAGAAACCCGAAGCCCCCCTCATAAGCCAAGTCGTAGACCGTATCCACGATATATACATCATGGAAGATCTCACAAGCTCCATTAAACATACCTCTGCCTCAGTCGCTCGAACCTGGTTCCCCTGGTTGGAATACATTCGGTCCCCTGACTACCTTACCCTCAGATAGGAGAACGCGGACCTTCTCCTGATGGGGAAACCTTATCCCATCTCCTCCCTGCCTTTCCTGTTTCCCCACCCTTTTAAGGTATATGCCCTACTACCATCTCTCTCTCTCTTTAGTTACCTAGTAACTACTGGGCCATTTATGCCATATCCTTTTTTTCTTTTTTCTTTTTCTTTTCTTTCCTTTTCCATCACTCAACCCCTTACCCACACAACCTACTCACATTCAGTTGCCTAACACTGTGGGTTTTTTTTTTCCTTCTAGTTTGTTTTGTTGTGCACAGTAAAGTTTTAAAAACAACATCATCTCTTATGCATACTATTGACAGGATGTCGTTTCACTTAAGGATAGAAGTCCCTTCCCCCCCACACACCTCCCTCGGATCCACAGATGCGCTCATAAGCACTTGGACACTTATATGTCCCCCTCTTGAGATACTTACGGGTCACTGACTAGCTGAGCAGGGGGGAACACCCTCCCCTTATTTTTTTTCAACACTTTAAATATTTTACTTTGTTTACTTTGTCATATACATCGCAATGCATTTGGTGTATTTTCTTGATGACCGCCCGAGAGAGCAACTATTTGCTACCTTTGCACTTGTTTTTCTCTTCTTGTGACCACCGTCAAAGCTTTTAAAATATAAAATAAAGACATTTATAAAAAAATTATGGAGAGGAAAAAAAAAGTGAAGGCAAAACT